GGCCTCGCGGCCCCACTCGAGCGTCCTCAGCACCGAGGGCTCGCGGGTCTTGAGGGGAGGAGGCGAACCCGGGGCCGGGCACTGAGCTCTTGGGCGCCCCCACCCCGGTTTTCGGAGCCCTCCACGCTGCGGCCGCTGTCCCCCTCCGGACCATGGCCGACGACGACGTGCTGTTCGAGGATGTGTACGAGCTGTGCGAGGTGATCGGCAAGTGAGTCTCCACGCGAGGGAGCGGGAGTGTGGAAAAATGCATTTCAGTGATGCCCGGGTCCTCCCGCACCCGCTCCGGGCCTGCCCCCTGCCCTCCCTTCCTCCCTCCCCTCTGCCTCCCTCGTCCTCCTCACCCGGGAGTATTTATAGACGTGTATCTAGATCTCCTGCCAGACAGGGGTCTGGGGGGGTTCTAGGCGATCCGTTGAGGCCAACGAGCCGAGGTCGGCCACCCCATAAAGCGTGGGGCCGGCTGCCTGCATTTATCTGACAGTTGCACAGGGACGTGGCAGAACCGATTTTATAGTTGCTTCCTGGGAACAGTTGGGGTTATTGTTACCTAGCGTGTGCGATAGACCATTTACGAAAAGAGCAGCTTGCATTTCCTTTGCTTGCGTGGAGAGAGAGAAAGAGCGTCCAGGGTTTTTAATTGTGGGGTGTGTGTCTATTGTGCAGGATATTAGACAGATGCCTTTGTGTTCACCCCATGCCCGGATTGGAGGGGGTCATTTAAGACCGGGTGCGTTCAGCTTCAGCAAATTCTTCACCTGGTGTAGACAAACGTGGAAAGAGTTAGGGGCATCCGAATTTTTAATGCTTCGTTATGCAATGACTGTTCAATCAGTGCTCGAGGCTCCCTTCGACTGTTGTTGGGATGGTGGTTAGCGTGATAGAGCCGTCTGCTTTGAGTCACCGGGCTGGACTAGGATATAGAACTGACAGTCCAAATGCTCATCCTTTCATCTGTGTTGTATAATTACGCTAGGGAAAAGCAGGGAATCAGATTAATCACAGTGCTGATTGAGAATTAAATCTGCAGTTCCTCATCTAATTGTCCATTCCTTAAATCTGTTTTGAATAGTTTCCTTTTCATTCTTGTCAAACAGTATTCCAAGTGCACAATCCTGCTAATTTGCCTGTGAGGGAAATGCTGGCAATCTGAAGTTGATTTCCTACCTCAGCGTGTATTCTGTGGCTTTAGAAGTTGAGGAGATAAGATTTAAGAGCAGTTTTTGTGATTTAATAAGGATTGCTACATAGCTACCATTGAAATATTTTACCTCTTTTTTCGGAAGTGTGCTTTATTGTCTATTTTAAGGTCCGCAGTTGGGAAATGAAACCAAGACCTTAGAGAAGTTGGTTCTATCTCTTTTAAGTTCTCTGCAATACTCAATTTCAATTTGTTGGAGCGCTGATAACTCATTTTTTCCCTTCTATATTGGGGTAGTACAGTGTTGCCTCACATGGCGAAATTGTGGATAGTGCTTGCTGCACACTTTACTCAGACTCGATTGATACGAGGACATGTTACTCCTTGCCCCCATTGTTACAAGACCAGCCCGTGTGTTAGGAGGATATCCAAATGTGTCCTGGTAAAGTGGTTGTGGAAGTGCTCTAGAGCTGCCTTGTCCAAAAGATACATAATGCGAGCTACATATATAATTTAAATGTTACTAATAGCCACATTAGAAAGATTAAGAACAAATTGGTGCAATTAATTTAAATAAAATATTTTATTTAACCCAGTAGATCCAAACTGTTATTTCAGCATGTAATCAATATAACAATTAATGAGATATTTTGCATCCTTTCTTTCATATGAAACCTTTGAAATCTAATGTGTATTTTACACTAACAGCACATCTAAATTCTGATGCTATGCTAAATTTTCATCAGAAATACTTGATCTGTATTTAGGTTTTCTAAATTCGCATTTGCAAAACTAGATTCACATACTCAGTTGTTCCAAACATACATAAAAGTTTTCCAATAATTGAATTGAGTATCTTTCTAAATATAAATTGAAGTTAATTACAGTTAAATAAAATTCAAAATTCATTTCCTCAGTTGGACTAGCCACATTTAAAGTGTTCAATAGCCACATGTGAATAGCACAATTCTAGAGAGAAAAATATATCAAAAATCTCCATGGTTTCTTCATTCTTAGGAGCACCCAGTGAAGGTAAATTAGGTGTTTCCCAAAAGCCTCTTAATAACTGTATGTGTGGGTGAATGATGTTTGTTGCGTCTTAGTTATAGCTGATGTAAATGAGCCCTCAAAGTCATAATTGGAAAATGTGAGATTAAAATGTTAATTATATTGTGGTGATGGAAAATAGCCGTCATTGAATCAATTTTGGTGACTAGTTCTGATTCCTTAAGATATGGAAGGGCGATGATGTGATCTCTTTGGATATTGAAAAGAAATGATCAGCATCACATTAACACAGTTGGTATTCTGCTTATAATTGATTAAATATTTTCAGGAAACTCCCTTGAATTAAATTCATCACTTCTGTTTCAGAGCTGCATAAGGAGGGAGAGCAAGCTACTTTTAAGATGATAGGTTCTCTATGGCTACCTTAACTACTGTAAACTGTGAAATCTCATTCATATCCCACAAAATTCAACTTGGTCAGTGCCATTTATAAAATGCCATTCCACGAAATAATGAATCCAAGGTAGCCTTAGTGTTAAAGAATGTAATGATAGTACTCCTCACCCTTTGTAAAGGTTGAAGGTTTCTCCGGTATATTGTCTCAGTTTGTATTGATCTGGAAATTGAAATTCACTTGAGATTTTCTTGCAGTGACCTAGACAGCATACATTTTAACTTAGAATTTGTTCAACTCTGGATTTAAACAAAAAGGCCTCGAAGATGTTCACTGGTACCGAAAACCTTTTTGTTGATTTCTATACAAATTCTATGGAATTTTGATTTTCTTTTATACCAAATTAGTATCACAAGTTGTTTTTCACCACTAGGACTTAATAAGTTTACATTTTTACTAAGGTACTTTAAAATAGATTACACTTTTCAAAACTAATTGACTACCCACTTACTCTACCTACCATCCACCTACTCACTCATCCACTCATCCACTCTGTACTAAGCCTTACTTAGTGGTATAAATGCAAGTTCTAGTTTAATTTAGACCCTTTAGTGTGTTTTTTCCCTTGGTTGAGAAGGACAACTTATAGAGTTAAGGAGCTTTTAAAGTATAAGATTATTATTTGGAATATGTTTTCTTCCCAGTGGCTGCAGCCTTTATCCTTGTTAAAGCTACCTTTGAGGGAATCATGTACCTGCTTCTTTATGAATATTGGGAGAGTGCCATTTCTTTCTTAAAAAAATTAAAACTCTTTTCCTCTGTGTTTCTTATTTTTCAAAGTCTTACAAAAACTCCTTTGAATGCCTGTTGTTTCCATAACATTTTCTATGTAACGTCTTTCAAGTGGCTGAAACATTAATCTCCAATAGTGGGACTTTTTCATAGTCCCAAAACTTCTTGTCTTAGCAAATATAGCAATTACTGGAAAGGAAAGGTATTATGCAAATGTAGATTAATGACTTTTATGTCATGATCATTTACTGTATTTTCTGCAAACTTACAGTTTTATAGTTTAGTGTACAATCAATAATGTTACATGAAAAATTTTAAGACCATTCATCCAAATTAAAACATGGAAAAATGCCTACTTTCTTGGTATAGCAGTTTCTCTGAAAGAGAATAGCAAAATGCACACTGTTTTCACTTTGTGTAGGCTGAATATTTGTCCTGGTGTTTAGTAACCTGTAACTTCTGACTTTCCTGCTCTGGTAGCACATATACTAAAATTGGAATGATGCAGCATGACCCCTGCTCAAGGATGACATGCAAGTTTGTGACGCGTGCTGTATTTGCTTACACCTCAAGAGCACTTATATTTAATTACAGTTACTTATTTATAGATCTCTCTACCTAACTAATAGGGAGCTTCTTGAGGGCAGGGAATGTTATACATCTCTCTCCATTACATAATACAGTTCCTGCAGTGTAACAGTTGCTTATTAGCTGTGGAATGAATTGAATGGTTTTAGTAAAATCTCATTAAAAGGCAAAAAAGCATGTTTATCAACCTCAGAGTAATTATTGTCCCAAAAGGCTGCATTAGTTTAAAGTAGCTGTTCTCCACCTGGCTGTATATTAGAATCACCAGGAGAGCTTTAAAAAAAGATCGATGCCAGACCCCTGTGTCAGAGCAATGAAATCAGAATCTCTGGGAGTGGGTTCTGGTCACTGGTATTTTTTTTTTTAAAGCACTCCAAGTGATTCTAATGTGCAGCAATGATTGAGACTCATTGGTTTACAACTTAGGTTATGTATTTAATATTCGGGGACTGGCTTCTCAGGGGCTTACAGTTTTTACAAAGTAGAATAAATGTTTTTGGAAGGTCTTGAAGCTAAAGGACCAAAACGTGGATTATATCTTCTATGCACTTAATGTTTCTGAGCCTTGTTGTGTAAGAATTTAGTTTCAGCCTGTGTTTGGCTTTGATTTCTTGGGCCTTTTAAGATTCACATTGATTTTTTATGACACTCATCTAATGCTAACATGGTGATTGTCTGATGTTTGGAACAACACAGAACAAAGATTGCTTCAATAACAGTTGATGGCTTTCTGCTATAATGGCTTAATTTAATATTAAGAAATTTATCAGTTTAGTATGGATTGTGTGTGCACATACACTCTATTAAAAGAGTATGGCTAAGTTGCTTATATACTTTAATTTCCATACTTGTGATTCCAATAATGCTATTTGCCAGTGAATTGGGTTAAATGCAGCTTTTATGTAAATACTGGGTTAATAATAGGTAAAGTATATAAGTCAGCACAGAAAAAAATTCAGCTTTACTAATTTGTACTAATTACTGTGGCTTTCACATGTATTGACTGACTCAAGTGATTTGGGTTTCTAGTACCACAGGGAAAATGTTACATCCTGTTGAAAAATCTTTCCAGGAAATTTTAACTAGACATTATAGGTAAAGTAGTTTTTAATGTTAAGGAAAGGTCAAGTGTGAGCCTGAAGGAACTGAGAATTTTCCAGAAATGAGTAGCTGTTCCATGAAAGAAGCGTGTGATCACAGTGACAGCCATGTAACAAGGTAAGAGAAACACAATCACCAGCTGAATTGCTGGTAGCCCAGAAAGAATCCAAGCCATGGGGGTTAAGCT